TGTATGTGACGCTTTTGGGACGACGACATGTGGCTTTAACAATACAATATGAGCTAAAGCTCCCATAAAGTCGACAGGCACACGTAGATTTAGCTTGATAAAACAGTCTAGTTTATCTGGAATCTCTACAGGCACACGTAGATTTAGCTTGATAAAACAGTCTAGTTTATCTGGAAACTACAGGCACACGTAGATTTAGCTTGATAAAACAGTCTATTTTATCTGGAAACTCTACAGGCACACGTAGATTTAGCTTGATAAGTCTAGTTTATCTGGAAACTACATGCACACGTAGATTTAGCTTGATAAAACAGTCTAGTTTATCTGGAAACTCTACAGGCACACGTAGATTTAGCTTGATAAAACAGTCTAGTTTATCTGGAAACTCTACAGGCACACGTAGATTTAGCTTGATAAAACAGTCTAGTTTATCTGGAAACTCTACAGGCACACGTAGATTTAGCTTGATAAAACAGCCTAGTTTATCTGGAAACTCTACAGGCACACGTAGATTTAGCTTGATAAAACAGTCTAGTTTATCTGGAAACTCTACGCTTAACTGAGATTGATGGGTCGTCCATTGTCTGCGCCCTGGGGAAATCTCTAGGCTTCTGCGGTGCTTGATCTCACTGAACATCATCGGCTGGCTGGGTTAGGTCAGTACTACTTTAGTTGGGGGGGGGGGGGTGGTACTTTGGTGGCTGGGTTAGGTCAGTGCCATTTAGTGGGGGGGGGGGGAGTACTGTGGTGGTTGGGTTAGGTCAGTGCCATTTAGTGGGGGGGGGGGGGTAGTACTGTGGTGGTTGGGTTAGGTCGTACTACTTTAGTTGGGGAGGGGGTGGTACTGTGGTGACTGGGTTAGGTCAGGACCACTAGGGGGTGGGGGTGGTACTCTGGTGGCTGGGTTAGGTCGTACCACTTTAGTGGGGGGGGTACTGTGGTAGATGGGTTAGGTCGTACTACTTTAGTGGGGGGTGGGGTGGTACTATGGTGAACCTCACAGCGTATCAGATAACCGCCAACGATGTGACTGACGTGAAATATTCAGGCCGAGCCTTGATGGGAGCGGCCCGGCTGGGAAACGTGTCCAATGATTGCATCATTTTATCCGGACCTGAGATACGTAGCCTCTACTGTCAGAAACGTGTCCAGTGATTGCATCATTTTATCCGGACCTGAGATACGTAGCCTCTACTGTCTGAAACGTGTCCAATGATTGCATCATTTTATCCGGACCTGAGATACGTAGCCTCTACTGTCTGAAACGTGTTCAATGATTGCATCATTTTATCCGGACCTGAGATACGTAGCCGCTACTGTCAGAAACGTGCACAAATCTATAGCGTCCGTGACATTCTACTAACTCAAATGTACAGACAGTAGCGTCCGTTAGAAATATACAGTGGCTGAGACTGTATGAAGACCTTAAAGCCCACAGTCCCCTGTGCTGATATTGTGACTGTATGAAGACCTTAAAGCCCACAGTCCCCTGTGCTGATGTTGTGACTGTATGAAGACCTTAAAGCCCACATTCCCCTGTGCTGATATTGTGACTGTATGAAGACCTTAAAGCCCACATTCCCCTGTGCTGATATTGTGACTGTATGAAGACCTTAAAGCCCACAGTCCCCTGTGCTGATGTTGTGACTGTATGAAGACCTTAAAGCCCACAGCATCTTGTGCTGATATTGTGACTGTATGAAGACCTTAAAGCCCACAGTCCCCTGTGCTGATATTGTGACTGTATGAAGACCTTAAAGCCCACAGCATCTTGTGCTGATATTGTGACTGTATGAAGACCTTAAAGCCCACAGTCCCCTGTGCTGATATTGTGACTGTATGAAGACCTTAAAGCCCACAGTCCCCTGTGCTGATGTTGTGACTGTATGAAGACCTTAAAGCCCACATTCCCCTGTGCTGATATTGTGACTGTATGAAGACCTTAAAGCCCACAGTCCCCTGTGCTGATGTTGTGACTGTATGAAGACCTTAAAGCCCACAGCATCTTGTGCTGATATTGTGACTGTATGAAGACCTTAAAGCCCACAGTCCCCTGTGCTGATATTGTGACTGTATGAAGACCTTAAAGCCCACAGTCCCCTGTGCTGATATTGTGACTGTATGAAGACCTTAAAGCCCACAGTCCCCTGTGCTGATGTTGTGACTGTATGAAGACCTTAAAGCCCACATTCCCCTGTGCTGATGTTGTGACTGTATGAAGACCTTAAAGCCCACAGTCCCCTGTGCTGATGTTGTGACTGTATGAAGACCTTAAAGCCCACATTCCCCTGTGCTGATGTTGTGACTGTATGAAGACCTTAAAGCCCACAGTCCCCTGTGCTGATGTTGTGACTGTATGAAGACCTTAAAGCCCACAGTCCCCTGTGCTGATATTGTGACTGTATGAAGACCTTAAAGCCCACAGCATCTTGTGCTGATATTGTGACTGTATGAAGACCTTAAAGCCCACAGTCCCCTGTGCTGATATTGTGACTGTATGAAGACCTTAAAGCCCACAGCATCTTGTGCTGATATTGTGACTGTATGAAGACCTTAAAGCCCACAGTCCCCTGTGCTGATATTGTGACTGTATGAAGACCTTAAAGCCCACAGTCCCCTGTGCTGATATTGTGACTGTATGAAGACCTTAAAGCCCACATTCCCCTGTGCTGATATTGTGACTGTATGAAGACCTTAAAGCCCACAGCATCTTGTGCTGATATTGTGACTGTATGAAGACCTTAAAGCCCACAGTCCCCTGTGCTGATATTGTGACTGTATGAAGACCTTAAAGCCCACAGCATCTTGTGCTGATATTGTGACTGTATGAAGACCTTAAAGCCCACAGTCCCCTGTGCTGATATTGTGACTGTATGAAGACCTTAAAGCCCACAGCATCTTGTGCTGATATTGTGACTGTATGAAGACCTTAAAGCCCACAGTCCCCTGTGCTGATATTGTGACTGTATGAAGACCTTAAAGCCCACAGCATCTTGTGCTGATATTGTGACTGTATGAAGACCTTAAAGCCCACAGTCCCCTGTGCTGATATTGTGACTGTATGAAGACCTTAAAGCCCACAGTCCCCTGTGCTGATGTTGTGACTGTATGAAGACCTTAAAGCCCACATTCCCCTGTGCTGATATTGTGACTGTATGAAGACCTTAAAGCCCACAGTCCCCTGTGCTGATATTGTGACTGTATGAAGACCTTAAAGCCCACAGTCCCCTGTGCTGATGTTGTGACTGTATGAAGACCTTAAAGCCCACAGTCCCCTGTGCTGGTGTTTAGAATGTTTATGACAAGACGAATGTTTTCCCCAGCTTAGCGTGGGGTCGATAACTGCCGTGAATTGACGGGGACATATAGATTTTAATAACACACGGCAAGACACGATTGGCAATCAATAGCTCAACACTACAAGAATGCGGCTTTTATTATCTAAATATAGCGTATTGACCAACGGATTGTTTGTGTGTAGATGGGGGGGGGGGGGGGGGACTGTCCTGCATCTGGTCATATACGAGTAACCTATCTTTTAAACATGTGCATCTCTGTAATCAATTATTTGAGTTGTGTACCCATAGCCTGCGCCTGCTCTACAACAACATCACACCTGGCGCTGGTGGAATTTTCCTTAGTTTGTTGTTGTTGGCTGGGAGAATTTCCACCGCTTTGGCTGTGGTTGTGCTAATGACAGGACACGTCAGCTAGTTGTGTGATGACCTGTGGATGTGCTAATGACACAACACACTAGCTAGTTGTGTGATGGCCTGTGGTTGTGCTAATGACAGGACACACTAGCTAGTTGTGTGATGGCCTGTGGTTGTGCTAATGACAGGACACGTCAGCTAGTTGTGTGATGACCTGTGGATGTGCTAATGACACAACACACTAGCTAGTTGTGTGATGGCCTGTGGTTGTGCTAATGACAGGACACGTCAGCTAGTTGTGTGATGACCTGTGGATGTGCTAATGACACAACACACTAGCTAGTTGTGTGATGACCTGTGGATGTGCTAATGACACAACACACTAGCTAGTTGTGTGATGACCTGTGGATGTGCTAATGACAGGACACACCAGCTAGTTGTGTGATGACCTGTGGATGTGCTAATGACACAACACACTAGCTAGTTGTGTGATGACCTGTGGATGTGCTAATGACAGGACACACTAGCTAGTTGTGTGATGACCTGTGGTTGTGTGCTGTGTTTATGTACATCGGCTTAGTATGTTCAAACGGTTTGCATGTCATATAAAAAAAATTGACTTACTGCGGAGCGTAAATGACGCCTACCCCAAGATACCTAATAAAAATTGGTCAAATGGCGAAAGTAAATTGTGTCCTCCACCACTCTACCCCTACCCCAGTGTAAAGTAAAAGTTTCCCTTTCAAACCTGACGGTCTATGGGGCAAGTGAAGTTTCTGTTTCTGTGACCTCGGCATATGAAGAGATAGTGTGGTCAGCCCTATGCCCAGCCGCCTTTACTTTCCCTAACGTGACTTAGGTACCCATCAGAGTTGGGTGGACTCAGGGACGGTCCACTGACTTCAACCCGGATTCGAACTCGAGACTAACGGGTTAGCAGTCCAGCTCTCTACCACTAGACCACTCCGTCTACCCCAGTATTGTGAGTGTAAATTGTGTCCGCTCATATTGTGAGTGTAAATTGTGTCCGCTCATATTGTGAGTGTAAATTGTGTCCGCTCATATCGTGAGTGTAAATTGTGTCCGCTCATATCGTGAGTGTAAATTGTGTCCGCTCATATCGTGAGTGTAAATTGTGTCCGCTGATATTGTGAGTGTAAATTGTGTCCGCTGATATCGTGAGTGTAAATTGTGTCCGCTCATATCGTGAGTGTAAATTGTGTCCGCTGATATTGTGAGTGTAAATTGTGTCCGCTCATATCGTGAGTGTAAGTTGTGTCCGCTCATATCGTGAGTGTAAATTGTGTCCGCTGATATTGTGAGTGTAAATTGTGTCTCCTATTAAAGTGGTGCCGGCCTCCATGAAACACAACCAGCCCACGAGTTGGACTAGTGATGACGTGCAAGGCAGCCAACTTTGGGATATTTTCTCACAAACGGCTCAAGACTGAGCCGAGTCGGCTAGAAGCGTCTTTTAACGGACACGGGAAGAAAGTCTCCCTTCTTATGTGCGGCACCAAACAGAACTTTGGTCCGAGCCTCACACAGCCACGCCCAGCTAACCATGGTCAGCAGCGGACAGATGCTAGGCTGACCATCGGGTACCTCACCAGAAGCTCCACCCCCGTTAGAGGCTGTCTACCTGCTTCACGTGCCAGGAAACGTGGCAGTACACAGGATGGTGACCACTGCAGTACACAGGATGGTGACCACTGCAGTACACAGGGTGGTCACACGCAGGAGAAAAGGCGGAAACTGGGTAAGTTCAGCTGACCTCTGTGTATAGCTAGCTGACCTCTGTGTATAGCTAGCTGACCTCTGTGTATAGCTGACCTCTGTGTATAGCTAGCTGACCTCTGTGTATATCTAGCTGACCTCTGTGTATATCTAGCTGACCTCTGTGTATAGCTGACCTCTGTGTATAGCTGACCTCTGTGTATAGCTGACCTCTGTGTATAGCTAGCTGACCTCTGTGTATAGCTAGCTGACCTCTGTGTATAGCTAGCTGACCTCTGTGTATAGATAGCGTGCGTGCGTGTGCGTGCGTGTGTATTAGATATTAGACTGTTGTGCCAAATTTTTAGTTCAACTATGTCCTAATTTCGTAATTTAACCTGTTTCAATACAAAGGACGTCCATCGTGACATAATAAGGCTCTAACTCATTTGTAATAGAGTAGTAAAAAAGTTTTTATCTCATTTTTATGCCTCCCGAAAAGTGTAAAAAGTGTAACTTCATATTAGGTCAAATTGAAAAACCTATATGTAAAGGACCATGACTTCTGTGTTTATTAAGCAGCATACACCCTCCTTTTCCCGGGTTTAGGAAATATACTACTTTTCTTATTAACCCTAACCACAACCAACCAAAAACAAAACATAAACACAAAAAGGAAACACAAAACCAAACGCAACGCAAACACAAACATTAACATAAACACAAACACATCGCAAACATAAACATTCCGGGGTACCTTCGAAACCACCTGATTCAACTTAGTAAACGACTTACATACCCCATCCTAATATATAAAAGACCATGTGCGCACTTCTCTCTCTCTCTCTCTCTCTCTCTCTCTCTCCGGCCTAAACTTATAAAATTTATTTTATCTATTTGGATTCTAGATCAAGAGATTCTAGATCTAGACTAGATCTAAATCTACGCAAAAACTTGACGTAGAAGCTAAGTCGCTAAGATCTAGATTTAGACTCGGATGGTTATAGATACCGGTGTCCGATAATGGAATTTTCTTTAAAAAAAGGGGTGTTGGGTTGTTAGTAGTATTGTAATTTCGACTAATTTTATGGTTAGAAATTAGGGTTAGGCGTATGGTAGGACCAGGGTTAGGGACAGGGTTAGCATTGACATTAGCCAGCCAAGTGTGTATTTAGTTAACTATCAGTAAACTAACACCCCTTTTTAAAAGAAGATTCCATTGTCAGACACGATGAAAACATATTTTATAGAAATCTTTGTTTGTTTAACTATGGAATAGGCATATATATATATATATATATATATATATATATATATATATATATATATATATATATATATATATATATATATATATATATATATATATATAGGCCTATAATTCACGTGAAACGGGTACCAATGGCTAGTCTTATTCATAAGCTATCGAACCGTTCAACCGAACGTCGGCGCCATAGCGCTCACGGTAATGCCCAGGGCGCCAAATCGGCGTATGCCCGGTTTCGATTTAGTTAAGAACTTAGTAACTTAGTAACTGCTGTAGTAGATCTGGGTTGTTTTTTTTTTTTTTTTTTTTTTTTTTTACAAAACTACTATCAAAGTGCAAGAAAAAAAAGTATTTGGTTCGATGTGTCTACTGGGAGTCAAGTGTGTTGTCTACTGGGAGTAAGGTGTGTTGTCTACTGGAAGTCAGTGTGTTGTCTACTGGGAGTAAGGTGTGTTGTCTACTGGAAGTCAGTGTGTTGTCTACTAGTAGTAAAGAATTTATCAAAAACAAAACATCCTCCATCCCAAAATATCAGACCAGCCTCTAATTGCAAGGGCTAGCATCAGACCAGGCTGCTATAGGCTGCTGTAACAACAGGTAACATTCTCACCTGATGTTGCTGGTACCATGAGACCAGTCTGTAGCACCAGATAACATTCTCACCTGATGTTGCTGGTACCATGAGACCAGTCTGTAGCACCAGATAACATTCTCACCTGATGTTGCTGGTACCATGAGACCAGTCTGTAGCACCAGATAACATTCTCACCTGATGTTGCTGGTACCATGAGACCAGTCTGTAGCACCAGATAACATTCTCACCTGATGTTGCTGGTACCATGAGACCAGTCTGTAGCACCAGGTAACATTCTCACCTGATGTTGCTGGTACCATGAGGCCAGTCTGTAGCAGCAGATAACATTCTCACTTGATGTTGCTGGTACCATGAGACCAGTCTGTAGCACCAGATAACATTCTCACCTGATGTTGCTGGTACCATGAGACCAGTCTGTAGCACCAGATAACATTCTTACCTGATGTTGCTGGTACCATGAGACCAGTCTGTAGCACCAGATAACATTCTCACCTGATGTTGCTGGTACCATGAGACCAGTCTGTATCACCAGATAACATTCTCACCTGATGTTGCTGGTACCATGAGACCAGTCTGTAGAACCAGGTAACATTCTCACCTGATGTTGCTGGTACCATGAGACCAGTCTGTAGCAGCAGGTAAGATGTTACGCAACAAGCCAGCCGGAATGACGTGGAGGTTTTTGTGGCCTGGCCTGCTGCGAGCAGATGGAACAGATAAACTCGGCTCTTACCTTTCTCAGGTGGTTACAGAAACTTGATGCTGATTGCCCAATGCCTTATTATCTCTAGCCTGCTTTAACCGTTCTTTGTTTATCCTAAACATAACATTTAATTGCATAACTCTGCAGGAACCGGTGACGTCACTGCTGAAAACATTATCTTCGTCAATAATTTGTTGATTACCCCACCTCACTATCCCCTCCGAACAACCGTGTGTGTGTGATTGCATGAGATATTTTCTTGACGGAAATTGAGTTTTTATTGGCGTTATATTTTGTTACAATCATAGCTCAAATCAAAATTGTAGGCTACTGTATTGTTAGCCAGTTTATCGTACTTCTTCTTTAGGTCACGGTGCTATATAGCTAGTTTAGAGTAATTAACAGTTAGGTTAAGGTACTGAACAGTTTGGCTATGTTACTGAACATATAGATCAGGATACTCTATAGTTTGGTCAAGGTACTGAACAGTTTGGCTATGTTACTTAACATATAGATCAGGATACTCTATAGTTTGGTCAAGGTACTGAACAGTTTGGCTATGTTACTTAACATATAGATCAGGATACTCTATAGTTTGGTCAAGGTACTGAACAGTTTGGCTATTTTACTTAACATATAGATCAGGATACTCTATAGTTTGGTCAAGGCATAGAAACGCGAACAGCTGTTTTTCTACTGAGGACTTTGCTGTCCACACGTCCATGCGTCATGACAGCAAATGAGCAGCGAATCCCACGGCTGTAACTTGTTAATAACCCTCCCCCCCCCATTACATGTCGCCTAGAAACATACAACAGTATCATTAGCTGTTCTGTTCATGGGTTAGTCCTTTAGTGCCTTTACCTTTAGTTATAGAGTTGGACAAGTTCCACGTACACCTGCACGACATAGCCATGTCTTTGCCCTGTCTACACACCACGTTGTACAATAGATCCAGTGACCACTGTCCTGTTGTCTACCCTGTCTACACACCACGTTGTACAATAGATCCAGTCACCACTGTCCTGTTGTCTACCCTGTCTACACACCACGTTGTACAATAGATCCAGTGACCACTGTCCTGTTGTCTACCCTGTCTACACACCACGTTGTACAATAGATCCAGTGACCACTGTCCTGTTGTCTACCCTGTCTACACATCACGTTGTACAATAGATCCAGTCACCACTGTCATGTTGTCTGCCCTGCCCACACACCACGTTGTACAATAGATCCAGTCACCACTGTCCTGTTGTCTACCCTGTCTACACACCACGTTGTACAATAGATCCAGTCACCACTGTCCTGTTGTCTACCCTGTCTACACACCACGTTGTACAATAGATCCAGTCACCACTGTCCTGTTGTCTGCCCTGTCTACACATCACGTTGTACAATAGATCCAGTCACCACTGTCCTGTTGTCTACCCTGTCTACACATCACGTTGTACAATAGATCCAGTCACCACTGTCCTGTTGTCTACCCCGTCTACACACCACGTTGTACAATAGATCCAGTCACCACTGTCCTGTTGTCTACCCTTCTACACATCACGTTGTACAATAGATCCAGTCACCACTGTCCTGTTGTCTACCCTTCTACACATCACGTTGTACAATAGATCCAGTCACCACTGTCCTGTTGTCTACCCTGTCTACACACCACGTTGTACAATAGATCCAGTGACCACTGTCCTGTTGTCTACCCTGTCTACACACCACGTTGTACAATAGATCCAGTCACCACTGTCCTGTTGTCTACCCTTCTACACATCACGTTGTACAATAGATCCAGTCACCACTGTCCTGTTGTCTACCCTGTCTACACACCACGTTGTACAATAGATCCAGTGACCACTGTCCTGTTGTCTACCCTTCTACACATCACGTTGTACAATAGATCCAGTCACCACTGTCCTGTTGTCTACCCTTCTACACATCACGTTGTACAATAGATCCAGTCACCACTGTCCTGTTGTCTACCCTGTCTACACACCACGTTGTACAATAGATCCAGTCACCACTGTCCTGTTGTCTACCCTTCTACACATCATGTTGTACAATAGATCCAGTCACCACTGTCCTGTTGTCTACCCTGTCTACACATCACGTTAGACCCAGTCACCACGTTAGACTCAGTCACCAGTTGAACTGTCCTGTTGTCAGGGTGATCACTTGTTTGCGTGCTGCCTTAATTTTCTGGCATTTCCTCCCTGGCGCTCTCTCAATGGTCAGGGATAAAACCTAATGCATACGTCACAGGATTGACTTCCTGCCGGCCTTACAGTTCACGAGTGCTAGAGACCTGGTCATCAAACCGGCTTTAGACATCATCTGTGCCGCAGAGATGAGCATCAGATCGGCCTAAGTGCCGTCTGTAGACATCTGTGCCGCCTGTAGACATATGTGCCGCAGAGATGAGCATCAGATCGGCCTTATTGCCGTCTGTAGACATCTGTGCCGCAGAGATGAGCATCAGATCGGCCTTAGTGCCGTCTGTAGACATCTGTGCCGCAGAGATGAGCATCAGATCGGCCTTAGTGCCGCCTGTAGACATCTGTGCCGCAGAGATGAGCATCAGATCGGCCTTAGTGCCGCCTGTAGACATCTGTGCCGCAGAGATGAGCATCAGATCGGCCTTAGTGCCGCCTGTAGACATCTGTGCCGCAGAGATGAGCATCAGATCGGCCTTAGTGCCGCCTGTAGACATCTGTGCCGCAGAGATGAGCATCAGATCGGCCTTAGTGCCGTCTGTAGACATCTGTGCCGCAGAGATGAGCATCAGATCGGCCTTAGTGCCGTCTGTAGACATCTGTGCCGCAGAGATGAGCATCAGATCGGCCTTAGTGCCGCCTGTAGACATCTGTGCCGCAGAGATGAGCATCAGATCGGCCTTAGTGCCGTCTGTAGACATCTGTGCCGCAGAGATGAGCATCAGATCGGCCTTAGTGCCGTCTGTAGACATCTGTGCCGCAGAGATGAGCATCAGATCGGGCTTAGTGCCGCCTGTAGACATCTGTGCCGCAGAGATGAGCATCAGATCGGGCTTAGTGCCGCCTGTAGACATCTGTGCCGCAGAGATGAGCATCAGATCGGCCTTAGTGCCGCCTGTAGACATCTGTGCCGCAGAGATGAGCATCAGATCGGCCTTAGTGCCGTCTGTAGACATCTGTGCCGCAGAGCTGGATAGGACTGACATTTCTTTAAACTTATATTTCCCATATCTGGAAGGGACTGACATTACTTTAAACCTATATTGCCTACAGCTGAATGGGACGGAAATTACTTTAAATATGTATTGCCCAAAACTAGATAGGGGGAGATAAAGCTTGAGGCTCGGCTGATCAATACTAACAACCGTCTCTCACTTTTTATTTCAGGCGTTGACGACATCGACGAAAATAGCCAGGATGACGTCACGTGGTCAAAATCCCAGAGACTGGTGCCTGTTTCCTGCAGCCTCAGTCCTATGCTGCCACTTAAAGGTGAGTGCTGGCACCTCGAGCTCACTAGCTGGCGTGTGTTATCTCATGTCAGCTCTAGTCTTGCTAACCAGTGGTCGGTCAAGTGGTCACTGCTGGTCCAGTGGTCACTGCTGGTCCAGTGGTCACTGCTGGTCCAGTGGTCACTGCTGGTCCAGTGGTCACTGCTGGTCCAGTGGTCACTGCTGGTCCAGTGGTCGGTCCAGTGGTCACTGCTGGTCCAGTGGTCGGTCAAGTGGTCACTGCTGGTCCAGTGGTCGGTCCAGTGGTCACTGCTGGTCCAGTGGTCACTGCTGGTCCAGTGGTCGGTCCAGTGGTCACTGCTGGTCCAGTGGTCGGCCAAGTGGTCACTTCTGGTCCAGTTTTCACTGCTGGTTCACTGGTCGGCCAAGTGGTCACTTCTGGTCCAGTGGTCACTGCTGGTTCACTGGTCGGCCAAGTGGTCACTGCTGGTCCAGTGGTCACTGCTGGTCTAGTGGTCACTGCTGGTCTAGTGGTGGGCCAAGTGGTCACTGCTGGTCCAGTGGTCACCGCTGGTCTAATGGTCACTGCTGGTCTAATGGTCACTACTGGTCCAGTGGTGGGTCCAGTGGTCACTGCTGGTCCAATGGTCACCGCTGGTCTAGTGGTGGGTCCAGTGGTCACTGCTGGTCTAGTGGTCACTACTGGTCCAGTGGTGGGTCCAGTGGTCACTGCTGGTCCAGTGGTCACTACTGGTCTAGTGGTCACTACTGGTCCAGTGGTGGGTCCAGTGGTCACTGCTGGTCCAGTGGTCACTGCTGGTCTAGTGGTCACTGCTGGTCTAGTGGTCACTGCTGGTCTAGTGGTCACTGCTGGTCCAGTGGTCACTGCTGGTCTAGTGGTCACTACTGGTCCAGTGGTGGGTCCAGTGGTCACTGCTGGTCTAGTGGTAACTGCTGGTCTAGTGGTAACTGCTGGTCTAGTGGTCACTGCTGGTCCAGTGGTCACTGCTGGTCCAGTGGTCTGTCTAGTGGTCACTGCTGGTCCAATGGTCACTGCTGGTCTAGTGGTCACTGCTGGTCCAGTGGTAACTGCTGGTCTAGTGGTAACTGCTGGTCTAGTGGTCACTACTGGTCTAGTGGTCACTGCTGGTCCAATGGTCACTGCTAGTCCAATGGTCGGTCCAGTGGTCACTACTGGTCCAGTGGTCACTGCTGGTCTAGTGGTAACTGCTGGTCTAGTGGTAACTGCTGGTCTAGTGGTCACTGCTGGTCTAGTGGTCACTGCTGGTCTAGTGGTCTGTCCAGTGGTCACTACTGGTCCAGTGGTGGGTCCAGTGGTCACTGCTGGTCTAGTGGTAACTGCTGGTCTAGTGGTAACTGCTGGTCTAGTGGTAACTGCTGGTCTAGTGGTAACTGCTGGTCTAGTGGTAACTGCTGGTCCAGTGGTCACTGCTGGTCCAGTGGTCACTGCTGGTCTAGTGGTCTGTCTAGTGGTCACTGCTGGTCTAGTGGTAACTGCTGGTCTAGTGGTCACTACTGGTCTAGTGGTCTGTCTAGTGGTCACTGCTGGTCCAGTTGTCTGTCCACTGGTCACTGCTGGTCTAGTGGTCACTTCTGATACATTGGTCGGTCCAGTGGTCACTTCTGATCCAGTGGTCGGTACTGACCCCGCTATCACGAGTGGGTCGTTGATTATATACAATCTATGACGGGATATACAAGGTTCGCGGAAATCCCTTAACGTTGCAGTACATTTGGTTGTCGGAGAAAATCACTGATACGGAAAAACATAATTTTGCAATCTTGTCCGTATGTCTGTCTGTCTGTCTGTGTGTCTGTCTGTGTGTAAACACGATAACTTGGGTACCGTTACAGCTAGGTTGATGAAATTTCATATATAAGTATTCTATCAAAATCGTAGATCCTGATCAACTTTTGAGCGATTTCCGATAACCGGAAGTGGTACTTTTTCTACTTTGAATTTTTCAAAAGCCTATAAATTGAGTACTATTTAAGATAGATAAATGAAATTTCACATGTAAGTAAAAGATCTAATTCTCTACCTTCTGTCAAATTTTGAGTAATTTCCGTTGAACGGAAGTACTAATTTACGCTATTTCCGATTTCTCAAAAAAAGCATGTAAATTTATAAAATACTAATAATATTGCGCACTATTATGCACATTTTGTTTTGGCGTTCGCTTGGTGCGCAATTCTTTTTTCTATGAGATTCTATTCTATTTTTAAAAGTTAAAGTAATTAAAAATAATGTCTATATTCCAAGTTATATAAGAATATTCGAGAAAGTTTAGGGGAGATCACTCCCGGTTTATTTATTTAGCTTTGGCATATCTTGGCTAACTTCAATCGATAATAGGTGTGTGTTTGGGACTAAGATGGCCGCAAGGGTGTCAGACATATTAAGTTTGGTCTGCTGGCTCATTATTCAAATGTTGCTGGAGCTTCTGTCCGCTCAGTCTAGCCTTGATTTGGTTACTTCTCCCTGTGGGGGTGGGCTACTCACACGTACTGACCGCACCGTCAGTCACACGTACTGACTTTACCGTCAGCCACAAGTACTGACCACATGGATAGCCACAAGTACTGACCACATGGATAGTCACAACTGCTGACCACATGGATAGTCACAACTACTGACCACATGGATAGCCACAAGTACTGACCACATGGATAGTCACAACTGCTGACCACATGGATAGCCACAAGTACTGACCACATGGATAGTCACAACTGCTGACCACATGGATAGCCACAAGTACTGACCACATGGATAGCCACAAGTACTGACCACATGGATAGCCACAAGTACTGACCACATGGATAGCCACAAGTACTGACCACATGGATAGTCACAACTGCTGACCACATGGATAGCCACAAGTACTGACCACATAGATAGCCACAAGTACTGACCACATGGATAGCCACAAGTACTGACCACATGGATAGCCACAAGTACTGACCACATGGATAGCCACAAGTACTGACCACATGGATAGCCACAACTACTGACCACATAGATAGCCACAAGTACTGACCACATGGATAGCCACAAGTACTGACCACATGGATAGCCACAAGTACTGACCACATGGATAGCCACAAGTACTGACCACATGGATAGCCACAAGTACTGACCACATGGATAGCCACAAGTACTGACCGACTTCAGAACTTGTAAAGATCCCCACAGCGAGGTCCAATGATGAAAAAGCGCATTCTCTTTTGTGAAAATGTCAGAGGTGTTTTAAAGATCGTGTGGTCTTTAGTTTTCATATTTTTGTCCTCTCACTCCTCCCCCCCCCCTCAACTCACAGACACCCTTTGATCCTCACACAACACGGCGCTGACAAATATGCCAAACGTCACGTTAAGCTGGTTAACCCCAGGTCATGTCACGCCCACCTGCTTGACAGCACTGACTGTACCTGACTGACATCGTCAAGTGCTTCCAGTTACCATGACATACTGACAGACGTCTCTAGCAGCAAGACGGGTGTCATTTAATGACATTTGGACACACGTCTCTAGCAGCAAGAATGGTGTCATGGAATGACATACTGACAGACGTCTCTAGCAGCAAGACTGGTGTCATTTAATGACATTAGGACAGACGTGTTTAGTGTTGCCTCAGTCGCTATTGCATATCCAGATCAACACGAGGCATATGCCCTACCTGTCTCCTACTGTGATGGCATATCCCGTACCGTGCGTGGCATATGCCAGTAGATGCATGCCGTAAAAACACGCGTTGTTGTAGAGAGCCAGCAACGATACGTTGTTGAACTTCCGCTCTACGCCCCCCCCCCATCTGCTGCCACTGGGTGCACTCGTGCCTGCTGCCGCAGCACATAACCGGTTCTAGGCTGCCGGCAGACAGGTGAACTGATTGGGTTTTAATAGACAAAAATGTCGGCAATAACTGTAGACAAGGGCAATAATCATATGCCAAGGTGGATCTTTGTTGGTTGCCAGACAATAGCATTCAGCAGGATTACATAGCAGGTACAATGGCATTAAACTTGAGGCGAGAAAATGTTTGCTTCTTTCTCCATCTCTCAGCATGTACAGAGGCATTAAACTTGAGGCGAGAAAATGTTTGCTTCTTTCTCCATCTCTCAGCTTGTACAATAAACTTGAGGCGAGAAAATGTTTGCTTCTTTCTCCATCTCTCAGCATGTACAATGGCGTTAAACTTGAGGCGAGAAAATGTTTGCTTCTTTCTCCATCTCTCAGCATGTACAATGGCGTTAAACTTGAGGCGAGAAAATGTTTGCTTCTTTCTCCATCTCTCAACATGTACAGTGGCATTAAACTTGAGGCGAGAAAATGTTTGCTTCTTTCTCCATCTCTCAGCATGTACAGAGGCATTAAACTTGAGGCGAGAAAATGTTTGCTTCTTTCTCCATCTCTCAGCATGTACAGAGGCATTAAACTTGAGGCGAGAAAATGTTTGCTTCTTTCTCCATCTCTCAGCTTGTACAATAAACTTGAGGCGAGAAAATGTTTGCTTCTTTCTCCATCTCTCAGCATGTACAATGGCGTTAAACTTGAGGCGAGAAAATGTTTGCTTCTTTCTCCATCTCTCAGCATGTACAATGGCGTTAAACTTGAGGCGAGAAAATGTTTGCTTCTTTCTCCATCTCTCAGCATGTACAGAGGCATTAAACTTGAGGCGAGAAAATGTTTGCTTCTTTCTCCATCTCTCAGCATGTACAGTGGCGTTAAACTTGAGGCGAGAAAATGTTTGCTTCTTTCTCCATCTCTCAGCATGTACAGAGGCATTAAACTTGAGGCGAGAAAATGTGTGCTTCTTTCTCCATCTCTCAGCATGTACAGAGGCATTAAACTTGAGGCGAGAAAATGTTTGCTTCTTTGTCCATCTCTCAGCATGTACAGAGGCATTAAACTTGAAGCGAGAAAATGTTTGCTTCTTTCTCCATCTCTCAGCATGTACAATAAACTTGAGGAAAGAAAATGTGTGCTTCTTTCTCCATCTCTCAGCATGTACAGAGGCATTAAACTTGAGGCGAGAAAATGTTTGCTTCTTTCTCCATCTCTCAACATGTACAGAAGCATTAAACTTGAGGCGAGAAAATCTCTTGTTCTTTCTCCATCTCTCAGCATGTACAGAGGCATTAAACTTGAGGCGAGAAAATCTCTTGTTCTTTCTCCATCTCTCAGCATGTACAGAGGCATTAAACTTGAGGCGAGAAAATGTTTGCTTCTTTCTCCATCTCTCAGCTTGTACAATAAACGAGGAGAATGTTTTTTTTTTTCCATCTCCCTCGCTGGTTTTAATGGCGCATCCCTAGGTTGATCTACAGGTGTAGACATTCACTCGAGTCAAAGCTTTATTGGGGTCTTTACATTAACTGCTCTAAACTTGTCCAATGGCCGCTTATTTTCGATTGATGATCAAAGTAGCAGGCCCACTTATTTGTATCGTGCACAGAGAAATGCGCAGGAAAATATTCGGTTCGCAGAAAACTCCGCTCTTGGAAAAATCTGCTAAAAAATGCGCACACACGAAAGTCAGACAGAAAACTATGCCAAGCACACTGGAAAATAAAGCAAAAATCTGCATTGAAATTATAGATACTGCTGACTCTGAGCGTAACATGCGCACCGCAATTTTTTTCTCAAAGAACAGGTACTTTGCAAGGGAGATTTTTACATTTTGTGGGTGACGACTGGGGTCCTTTGGAGGTGGGGGTGAACGCTTAATCAAAATAGCCGTGGTTTAGACGGGTTTAGGGTTCGATCAGTTCGAGCAAGCACTCAGATATTCCACTTTTGAACTGTTTTAGACGACCAACGGCAGACTGACATGGAGCTGGACGACCCATTTATCGGGATGGCCGGGTACATCGGCTCACCCAAGCGGTGCAAGAAGCGGAACTTCTATGTGGCCGACAGCTCGGGGGATGCCAGCCTACTGGGGCAGCTGCTGAAGCATAGCGGGCCGCGGCCCTCGGGCCAGGCGGACAACGGCATGCGGCCCACCGGTCAGGTGGACCACGTCGCGCGGCCCACCGGTCAGACGGACCACGGCGTGCGGCCCACTGGCCTAGCGGACCTAGAGCAGCAGGCCAGCCTGGACTTTGAGGACTTGATGGACTACAGCTGTGCCGTCACGCCGGCCAGACAACAGCTGTCCCACACAGGCTCGCTGTGTCAGATCATCTCGGACTGTCAAAAGCTGCGTTTGTCTGATGAAGGACAGCTGATGCTGGACGCTGCTCAAGGCTTTCTCATGATTATAGACAAGGAACTTCGGATTTTGTTTGTCTCAGAGAATGTGTCGGAGCATCTGGGACACCAGCAGGTGAGTGCCTTTGTTCTTCAGCCATATGCAAGTAGTAGCTTAATCGCCAAACAGATAGCAGTAGCTTAATCCCCACACAGGTAGATGTAGCTTAATCCCCACATATGTAGATGTAGCTTTACACACAGGTAGATGTAGCTTTATCCCCACACAGGTAGATGTAGCTTTATCCCCACACAGGTAGATGTAGCTTAATCCCCACACAGATAGATGTAGCTTTACACACAGTTAGATGTAGCTTTATCCCCACACAGGTAGATGTAGCTTTATCCCCACACAGGTAGATGTAGCTTTACACACACAGGTATATGCAGCTTTACACACACAGGTAGATGTAGCTTTATCCCCACCCAGGTAGATGTAGTTTTACACACACAGGTAGATGTAGCTTTACAAACAGGTAGATGTAGCTTTACAAACAGGTAAATGTAGCTTTACACACAGGTAGATGTAGCTTTACAAACATGTAGATGTAGCTTTACACACACAGGTAGATGTAGCTTTACACACACGGGTAGATGTAGATTTACACACAGGTAGATGTAGCTTTACACACACAGGTAGATGTAGCTTTACACACACGGGTAGATGTAGATTTACACACAGGTAGATGTAGCTTTACACACACAGGTAGATCTAGCTTTACACACACGGGTAGATGTAGATTTACACACAGGTAGATGTAGCTTTACACACACAGGTAGATGTAGCTTTACACACACGGGTAGATGTAGATTTACACACAGGTAGATGTAGCTTTACACACAGGTCGATGTAGCTTTACACACAGGTAGATGTAGCTTTACACACAGGTAGATGTAGCTTTACACCCACTCTCTAACAAACACACCCAAGTAATTGAACATTCATCCAACCACACACACACACACACCGACACCTAAGTAGTTGTAACTTAAGACAAATTATCGTTAATTACAAGCTGTTGCTGAATGTCTTGTTTGTGTACATCAGACGAACATGCTGGGGCTGAGTATAGCCGAGTTTGTCCACCCTAAAGACATGAACGATATCATCGATCACATGAAGGATGAACAGTTCCAGTCAGGTAGGGCTGCTCTCATCTTAACTCAACAGTCTAATCAGCGTTAATTAGACCACATGGACTGGCTCATTAGCAGACATTTTTAAACCAATTAAATTGTTAATTATCAGGAGTAATTTGGCGTGCTTTGAGGTAGTATTTAGCTACCTATGCCATTAGTCAGGTTTAATTTAAGCAGAACACAGATCGTCTGACCGGTTCATCTGTCTGTTGTCATGTGTGTGCTATCCAAGCCCATCTCCCCTATAACAACTGCTGCAGCACGATGACGCAATCGGTGTTGTCAACAAATTAAAATCGTGAGAGTGATCTCCCGTGTGTAGCTGAGTTGTGTCCCCTGTGTGTGCACCTAGCGTCGTGCTGGCAACCATCAGTTTATGTTTTAACTACATTAGAGAACAATATCTGGTGGACAGGAATGCAGATCATTCACTGGTTTTCTAAGTGGACTCAAATGGCTAAGTCAAATAAGACATCAGTGGCATTTAGTATTGTGTGGCAGTACGTCTGGTGACAGACAAGCAAGACGGGTGACAGACTAACAGGACGGATGACAGACAAACAGGACGGATGACAGACAAACAGGACGGATGACAAACAGGACGGATGACAGACAAACAGGACGGATGACAGACAAACAGGACGGATGACAGACAAACAGGACGGATGACAAACAGGACGGATGACGGACTAACAGGACGGGTGACAAACAGGACGGATGACAGACAAACAGGACGGATGACAGACAAACAGGACGGGTGACAGACAAACAGGACGGATGACAGACAAACAGGACGGGTGACAGACAAACAGGACGGATGACAGACAAACAGGACGGATGACAGACAAACAGGACGGATGACAGACAAACAGGACGGATGACAGACAAACAGGACGGATGACAGACAAACAGGACGGATGACAAACAGGACGGATGACAGACTAACAGGACGGGTGACAAACAGGACGGATGACAGACAAACAGGACGGGTGACAGACAAACAGGACGGATGACAGACAAACAGGACGGATGACAGACAAACAGGACGGATGACAGACAAACAGGACGGATGACAGACTAACAGGACGGGTGACAAACAGGACGGATGACAGACAAACAGGACGGATGACAGACAAACAGGACGGATGACAGACAAACAGGACGGGTGACAAACAGGACGGATGACAGACAAACAGGACGGATGACAGACAAATAGGACGGATGACAGACAGTGATGACAAATAGGACGGATGACAGACAGTGATGACAAACAGGACGGATGACAGACAGTGATGACAAACAGGACGAATGACAGACAAACCAGACGGATGACAGACAAACAGCACGGATGACAGACTAACAGGATGGATGACAGACTAACAGGATGTATGACAGACAAACCAGACGGATGCCTAGATTGGGCTGATATTCTGACCCTGCCGGTCTAGCAGGTTTTATTTGAAAAACTTTCTTTACTATCTAGTCATGGCCTTGCTTGTTTACCATCAGTCATGACGTACTGTATGAAGAAATCAATACGGCACCAATTAATCAACATTCGATTTAAATAAAGATGCCGCCAACTAGTCAATAGCATCTTTATTTAACTAGAGGATTTGAGTCGTCGAAAAAAAGATGTCACGTGACTTTCTGATCCCTGGTAGCCAGAACTAAGCATGGAGATTTCAGTTGTTAGGAACTCTAGTGTACTTAGAAAGCTTTGAGCAATTGATGATCTTCGTGCTGTGAGTTCGTGGGTCATATCTTAGTCGAAACCAAAGCAAACAGTGGCCACTACTGCTCCAGTTTGACATATCTATTGTGCATTTGAATACTGGAATAAGTCCCTCTATTAAACGCTATTAGCTATTAAGTTTTAGAGTGGTCTGTTAGATTTATAGCCCATCGCGCTTATCTCGCAATGTTTATTTGTCGAGTTGAGTATTACTAGCAGTGAGATCTTGAAGTAGTTTCTGTCATACGATATGCACAGAGTGTAAGTACATTTGGGTTCCTAAGGCTATAGCCCTGCAGGCCTAGTGTACATGTACACAAATACACCAGCACATTTGGGTTCCTCAGGCTATAGCCCTGCAGGTCTAGTGTACATGTACACAAATACACCAGGACATTTGGTGTCCTCAGGCTATAGCCCTGCAGGCCTAGTGTACATGTACACTAATACACCAGCACATTTGGGTTCCTTAGGCTATAGCCCTGCAGGCCTAGTGTACATGTACACAAATACACCAGCACATTTGGGTTCCTCTGGGCCCTGCAGGCCTAGAGTACATGTACACAAATACACCAGCACATTTGGGTTCCTCAGGCTATAGCCCTGTAGGCCTAGAGTACATGTACACAAATACACCAGCACATTTGGTGTCCTCAGGCTATAGCCCTGCAGGCCTAGTGTACATGTACACAAATACACCAGCACATTTGGGTTCCTTAGGCTATAGCCCTGCAGGCCTAGTGTACATGTACACAAATACACCAGCACATTTGGGTTCCTCAGGCTATAGCCCTGCAGGTCTAGTGTACATGTACACAAATACACCAGGACATTTGGTGTCCTCAGGCTATAGCCCTGCAGGCCTAGTGTACATGTACACTAATACACCAGCACATTTGGGTTCCTTAGGCTATAGCCCTGCAGGCCTAGTGTACATGTACACAAATACACCAGCACATTTGGGTTCCTCTGGGCCCTGCAGGCCTAGAGTACATGTACACAAATACACCAGCACATTTGGGTTCCTCAGGCTATAGCCCTGTAGGCCTAGAGTACATGTACACAAATACACCAGCACATTTGGTGTCCTCAGGCTATAGCCCTGCAGGCCTAGTGTACATGTACACAAATACACCAGCACATTTGGGTTCCTTAGGCTATAGCCCTGCAGGCCTAGTGTACATGTACACAAATACACCAGCACATTTGGGTTCCTTAGGCTATAGCCCTGCAGGCCTAGTGTACATGTACACAAATACACCAGCACATTTGGTGTCCTCAGGCTATAGCCCTGTAGGCCTAGAGTACATGTACACAAATACACCAGCACATTTGGGTTCCTCAGGCTATAGCCCTGCAGGCCTAGAGTACATGTACACAAATACACCAGCACATTTGGGTTCCTCAGGCTATAGCCCTGTAGGCCTAGAGTACATGTACACAAATACACCAGCACATTTGGGTTCCTCAGGCTATAGCCCTGCATGCCTAGAGTACATGTACACAAATACACCAGCACATTTGGTGTCCTTAGGGCCCTGCAGGCCTAGAAAGGTTCAGACAGTTGATGTATCGGAAATCTATAAGCCCTCCGCTAGCTGATATCAATATATTAGGCGGTGGTACCAAGTTGACAAGAATTGACTTTCTTCCATCGCAGTAGATAGAGATTTGTAGGACCACAGTAGGTAGAGATTTGTAGGACCACAGTAGATAGAGATTTGTAGGACCACAGTAGATAGAGATTTGTAGGACCACAGTAGAGATTTGTAGGACCACAGTAGAGATTTGTAGGACCACAGTAGAGATTTGTAGGACCACAGTAGAGATTTGTAGGACCACAGTAGAGATTTGTAGGACCACAGTAGAGATTTGTAGGACCACAGTAGGTAGAGATTTGTAGGACCACAGTAGATAGATATTTGTAGGACCACAGTAGATAGAGATTTGTAGGACCACAGTAGGTAGAGATTTGTAGGACCACAGTAGAGATTTGTAGGACCACAGTAGATAGAGATTTGTAGGACCACAGTAGATAGAGATTTGTAGGACCGCAGTAGAGATTTGTAGGACCACAGTAGGTAGAGATTTGTAGGACTACAGTAGATAGAGATTTGTAGGACCACAGTAGATAGAGATTTGTAGGACCGCAGTAGAGATTTGTAGGAGCACAGTAGGTAGAGATTTGTATGATCAGACAGTAATTCTCAAATACTAATTATAAAAAGAAAGCACTCATAAAATATTGCACCCTTTATATTAGGAACACATTTGTTTCACCAAACATGGTTGTTAAATGTACTAAATAATTTAGACGGTAAACAATGAAATAATGTGGAGCCTAATGAATCCAGTGAAACAATGTGCCCTTAGTGAATTCAGTGAAACAATGTGCCCTTAATGAATCCAGTGAAACAATGTAGAGCCTAATGAAGCCCATCTGCTTGCAGGTAACGATGGAACCTCACCTGTCTGGCTGACAAGGCGCATGTTTTATGTAGGCATGAAGTTCTGCTTCCAGAAACCTGGCTCCCGCAACAAGGACACGGGATACACAGTGAGTACTTGATCACGTGTCTGCTTGTCATAGTCCAGCCATCTGGTTGTCATAGTCCAGCCGTCTTAGTGTACATCTAAGTTGTTGGCACCTGTCCCAGAAAACATGACCCCAGACAGAATACATCTATGGCCCTGGCCCTGGAAACATACCCCCTGGCCCAGTAAACTTGCCCCCAGCCAGAATACATCTATGACCCCCTGATACAGGAAACTTGCCCCCAGCCAGAATACATCTATGACCCCCTGATACAGGAAACTTGCCCCCAGCCAGAATACATCTATGACCCCCTGGTACAGGAAACTTGCCCCCAGCCAGAATACATCTATGACCCCCTGGTACAGGAAACTTGCCCCCAGCCAGAATACATCTATGACCCCCTGGTACAGGAAACTTGCCCCCAGCCAGAATACATCTATGACCCCCCTGATACAGAAAGCTTGCCCCCAGCCAGAATACATCTATGACCCCCCTGATACAGAAAACTTGCCCCCAGTCAGAATACATCTATGACCCCCCTGATACAGAAAACTTGCCCCCAGCCAGAATACATCTATGACCCCCCTGATACAGAAAACTTGCCCCCAGCCAGAATACATCTATGACCCCCTGATACAGGAAACTTGCCCCCCTGTCCCAGAAACCATGCCCCCAGCCAGGCACCGAGAGAGTGTAAAACCTCACTACCTGTTGCCCGTTCTTGTCCCTGCTTTCATCTCCCTGTCTGCAGTTCTTTAGCCCACAAACTCCCTTCATTGAGAATCTTTGGCCCAATTGTCGGATCAAGGTCAGCGTGATATCGATGACATTTCTTCGGCCTGTTGGTTTAACCCGGGCAGAACATGGACACTGCTATTTTAAGACGGACAGAACATGGACACTGCTATTTTAAGACGGACAGAACATGGACACTGCTATTTTAAGACGGGCAGAACATGGACACTGCTATTTTAAGACGGGCAGAACATGGACACTGCTATTTTAAGTGAGGCAGCATTTACCACATGTACTGGATATGTGTCAAGTCTCAGAGAATCTCACTGCTATTTTAAGTGAGACAGCATTTACCCCATGTACTGGATATGTGTCAAGTCTCAGAGAGTTCCACGTTTACCAAGTGGTAGTGGATACAGCACTAATTGAATAGAATATGTTACATAAAGTTACATGGATGTCATCCCCCACCTCCACCCCCCACCTCCACCCATCCCGTTTTCTGGTGACAAGTTAAGAAAATGCAATCACTCAAATGTCCAAAGAATGAATCAATAGTAGAAGTGTATCGATACAAATGTCTAAAGTTGTAGGTTACACTTTGACCTGTCGAACATCGATTGAACTATCTCAAGCGTCACACGAGCATATTATTCAGAACCCGCATCAAGCTACCGTGTCTGATGTGTACTGCTACCATCTCTACAAAACCCCACATAGAGCTACCATCTCTACAAAACCCCACATAGAGCTACCATCTCTACAAAACCCCATATAGAGTTACTATGTCTACAAAACCCCATATAGAGCTACCATCTCTACAAAACCCCATATAGAGTTACTATGTCTACAAAACCCCATATAGAGTTACAGTGTCTACAAAACCCCATATAGAGCTACCATCTCTACAAAACCCCATATAGAGTTACTATGTCTACAAAACCCCATATAGAATAGCTATGTCTACAAAACCCCACATAGAGTTACTATGTCTACAAAACCCCATATAGAGTAGCTATGTCTACAAAACCCCATATAGAGTTACTATGTCTACAAAACCCCATATAGAGTAGCTATGTCTACAAAACCCCATATAGAGTAGCTATGTCTAGAGTTACTATGTCTACGAAACTCAATATAGAGTTACTACGTCTACAATACAGTTACTATGTTTACCAAAGTTACCACGTCTGTTGCCTACTGTGACGGTCTGCCCAAGTGTGGATGTTTTGGGACAATCAATACAGGCTGGGGGGGGGGGGGGTGATGCCGCCAGTTGATAGATTTAAGCTGATCGATCACCACATACTCTCTGCCACTCTCTCCATGCACGTCCTTGACCTTTAGAACATGGAATCTCTCGGGGGGGGGGGGGGGGGGGCTCAGCCCCTTGGATGTTTTGTGTCTACTAGCATTGTATAGTTTCATATAGCGTGTTGGCATGGTATGAACAAGACACAGCTGCTTGCAGTAAACGGATATATTTCTAATGTTTACTGTCTTATATGCTCGTCTCAGTGTCATACTTCCCTGTTGTACACACACATATTTTTACAAGCTTTTATTTAACTTGCTTCCTCTATCTTTCTATCTGTCGGTCTGTCTTTCGCAACTTTCTGTCTATCCGTCGACATAGATCGAAACTGCCAAGCGAAATTTCGAGCACGTGTAACTGACCGATTCGTTTCAAACTTTGCACGTGGATCAAGACCCGATGGCAATGCAATCTGACATCAAAGTTGACTTAATTGGATTCCTTATTAATTTTTTTTATGAATTAATTAAAAGTTACAAAATAAAGTAGGGAGTCCTATTATTTGCCGCACTGTTATAAGCGAATTTTCATGTTCATTTGGTGCGCAATAGTTTTTAGTCATGCAACTCCATTGTATTAAATATTTTGAAGTATGAAAACGTTTTAATTACAAGATTATCTTTGAATATATAACTACACACTACTATTTAAGTAACTATAAAGAAAAACTTTGGTCACTTCTTAAATTCTAGTAAAGGTATTCAATATGTTGTTATTTAAATAATAGTTCATTATTATATTTAAAGAAATAATTTATTTTCTCCTTTTTATATATAATAAATGCTTATTATTAAAACTTTTTAATGCACTTTTTGTAGATTTATTTGACACAGTTCATCTTGTTGCACAGACAGCTATTTGTGTAGATTTGTTTGCCACTTCTTGTAAACACCTTCTCAAGTACACCTCGACAACCTCTTGTTGTGTGGGGCCGTCCTTTAGCGTACACAGCTTAAAAAATTGCTGTCTTCCGTTGTTGTTTCCGCATGGCCTGGTTGTGAACTTGTCCTAGTTGTACGGCCAACTGTGGCGTCACATACACTACGGCTTTTGTGTCACGTCCTGTTGTTGTCTGTTTCGCCTTGTTTGGTCTCATATATCACTTTTGTGTAACTGACAGATAGTTCCTACATCACGTACACTAGCACCAGCAGTAACTTTTGTGTAACACTAGCACCAGCAGTAACTTTTGTGTAACTCTAGCACCAGCAGTAACTTTTGTGTAACTCTAGCACCAGCAGTAACTTTTGTGTAACACTAGCACCAGCAGTAACTTGTGTGTAACTGATAGATAGTTCCTACATCACGTACACCAGCACCAGCAGTAACTTTTGTGTAACACTAGCACCAGCAGTAACTTTTGTGTAACTCTAGCACCAGCCGTAACTTTTGTGTAACACTAGCACCAGCAGTAACTTTTCTGTAACACTAGCACCAGCAGTAACTTTTGTGTAACACTAGCACCACCAGATCAAATACAGAGATTGGCGCTCAAGTTCGTTGACTTCTATTGTCGACTAACGTCGTAAAAAACTTTTGGTCAAGCAAGGAGTACAGAGATAAAAGCTGACAGCTAGTTGGTGATGACATGTTTACAGAAAGAAACTTTATCTCTAACACTTGGCATGCCAAACGGTGATGGCGTGTGTAAACTCGCCCCCCCCCCCATGTTCAGCGATCGAACAAAGGGTGTGGGGTGGCAGCAACTCCCCGTCAAACACATCTAAGGACATGTCCGCTTGCCAGTGTAATGTCTTCTATCACATCAATACAACTATTTCTAGAACACGTCTATTTAGACGATCGTGTTGTAACATTTCTTACAGTTCCCTCTCCCGCTCCCTCTGTATTTGTGTACTAGATATGCCCTGAGTCATGCCCGATGTTGTAGTGTTTAGCTCTTACAAGGACCATGTTATGTTGAGCACAGTTTTATGCCTGCTCCATGATGTGGAGATAGAAATCAAAGGTCCGGCAATAACTCCACCACATGACTGACCCAACCACGTCACGGACCGTTTGTTCCACAGTGACGTCACGGTTATGTTAGCCCCCCCCCCCCCCCCCAGGAGAGCTAATGGCACTCTGGTCTGTGGACAAAGCAGTTAGTTTTATTTCAACTTTATCTGCACCGGTTTTGTGGCCCCGCCTTTAGAAACAGCTTGATTGGTCCAGTTTGTATTAGTTTCATTTCGTGGCTACACTCAGCTCCTTCATCAGATAGCCGGGTGTACCGGCCTGTTCCATTATGTGCTGATCTCATCTGTAGGCCCTATATCAGCTGTAGGCTGTCATCTAGTCTATGTTGGCTTTACATCAGCTGTAGGCTGTATTGGCCCCTATATCAGCTGTAGGATGTGTCATCTAGTCCATATAGGTCTTTATGCTAAATTTCGCATTTTCTGTCTTCGCAAATTTCTGTTTGCGCTTTTTTCTGGTTGCGCATTTTTTTGAGCTTTTTTCCGTTGCGCTTTTTCCCGTTGCGCATCTTTCTGGGAAGTGTTGGCCCCTACATCAGTTCGACGAGTGTGAGAGTGTAGTCGATCCAGTCATGTGCTGGTCTCAGCTGTGGACCGCCTGTGTTCACACCGTGGCTTGTACATGTGATCACTGGGCCGGAGAATCTGTGCCCCTATGTTTGCCACTGTGTCTGGTCTACTGCTTGTGTGATGTAGGCTGGTGTCGCTGACATTGGCTGATATGTTGTGTTGCTGTTGTAATAACTGAGAAGGACAACATTTCCTATTGAGTTGGTTGTGTGCCTGATGCTTCTAGCAGAACGTCAACTCATCGTGTGTGTCCTAGACTGGTGCCTGGCCAACATTTCCTATTGAGTTGGTTATGTGCCTGATGCTTCTAGCAGAACGTCAACTCATCGTGTGTGTCCTAGACTGGTGCCTGGCCAACATTTCCTATTGACTTGGTTATGTGCCTGATGCTTCTAGCAGAACGTCAACTCATCGTGTGTGTC